AAAGCATGAAGTTTGTCCCAAATATGTTAAGAATAACTGAACCATCTGTAACAAATAACTGTTTTACTATTATTGCTCATACATAATATTTGTTAGTAAAAGGACACTTTTAAGGCAGTTTATCTATTGACCTTTCACGTAATTATAATAACCTGCTAGTCTGACTGTAAGAATAACAGTTTATATTTATCAGTATTGCACAGTGATCCATATTGCATGGTTTAAAAAAAAGGAAAATATTATTTTTCACTAATCATCCATTGCATTTATAACTGGATTCAGATTCAAGAAAATTTTTCAAAAATATCCTTATATATTCCTACATTTATTTATTTTTCTTACCTGTATGAATCCCAACCGCAAAACTGTTCTAGATAACAAGTGGCTACAGCAGCATCATGTTCAGCTAGTTTGTCTTTAATGCATTACTGAAAATCTTCAAGTTGTAACATCTCAGGTTTATAGCGTAAGACTTCTCATATGATATCCTAACCATCAGCAAGTTCTTGAAGTCCTCATATCTGTTAGGGAGCAGCAAAGTCAATACGTCATGCATCAAAGATAAATTTTGTACTGAACTGTGCTTCTTTAAGGCAGGAGAAAGGATAGTTGAGGTGAAAAGTTTGCATTGTGATACATGTGATTCATTAAGTACTGGGAAAACCACAGAATGCTGCATTCCTGAAATAAAATCTTTTATCTCACGTTTTATTTTAAAAAAAGTTTTGCTTAAAAATGCATAACCCTTCCAGGATGTAAGACTCAGGATTTTATTTACATAGCTGAAAGTGTTTTCCCTGCTAAGATAATTGAGTCCAGATAATGATCTTGATAAAGATCACTTCCAGGGCAAATAAAAACTGACATAATCTCGTTATCTGAAATTCTTTGTTCTTCTTGTTGGTTACCTTGTTTGCAAAGCAAGCTTTTCACTGTCCTGTAAATGGGTAGTATACCTGACGGAAACTAGTGTCCCACTGCAGAAACTGGCTGCCCTAGATGTGCATAAAGAATACCTACAAAATCATCATGTGGACAGTATGACTTGTTCCACTTAAAAGATTTTCACTGGCTTTGCAGCATACAAAAAACTATCCCTGTAAATACCTCACAAACACAGGTAATCTCAGAGCAAATTTGGACAGCACACTAACAGCTATACTTAATTCATAATACATGCTTGCAGTTAATAAAAGAAAGTTAGTTGCACCTTTCCCTCCCTGCTCAGTTGCCCCATACTGCGAGTTCAGGTAGCAAAGAACTGGTTTTAAACTCGGGTGACTGGGGCTGTAGCTATGACTTGGCCTTTGTCAGGAACAGATGGTTGCGACGGAGAAGAGAGACCCACCTGCCTTTTGATTTCTTTTTCTCACACTTTCTAATTAACTTAGTGTCAAGAAATAGTATTAGGTGATGGAGAACTTCTTCAAAGATGTTCCTTTCCCAACATGTAAATAAGGAGTTGTTTAGGATAACTTTTAAGATAAACATATATATTCTGAATATGGAGCGAAAGTCTATTTCTGATATTCATAACACAAACCTAAAGCAGCACATGGAAGCAAGTACGTACCAATACATTGCTTTATTGCATGTAAGAGAAAATATTCTCTGTGTTCACCTCTGCATGATAAGATCTGATATATTAATATATATTAATTATCAATATTAATTAATTATATTATTATACAATATAAAGCTATGTAGTATCAGCAATAGAAGTAACAATTTTATCCCTCTTTTCAAGCACGCTTTCTGTCAAGAATAATCTAAAGCTTTTTGTCATGAAATAAGTATATGTAATCATTTACTAATGTACCATTCTAGTTCTTATACCTTTTGTATCAGGCTAGAAATTTATATCAAGAAAGTAACGAAGCATATTCCTAGGCTTGTCTGACTCAAAAACAAATCTTCCTTGCCCACAGTATTTGGAGAGTTTAATTATCCATTTTTTCTATTCTTAATGTTTATACATTCATCAAAACATTTTTAAAAATTTCCAGTATCCAGGTAAAAAGCGTGATGATTATATACCTCTAACTCTGTACTGGTATCTGAAAGCAAAGTATTTTGTGGATTAGCTCATCCATTAAATTGCAAGCTGAAGTTCAAATCAGAACAGCAAATCTAGTGATCCAGAGAGAAAATTATCCACCATTTTTATGCTATAGATTTAATATGAATTCATATGGCTGACACTCTTCTCACTTTACTCATCTTACTCTAATTCCACTTATTTCAGCTACATCTTCTCTGAGTTGCTATTTCCTCTGAGTAGATAACTTCTGAATATCTTGAATCTCTGTCTTTAGGCACTTTCTGTGGAAAATAAAGGTAAAAACAAATACTGTAGATAAAATGCTGGACTGCTTAAATTGATGGGAGTTTTGCCACTGTTTTTATTTGGGCCGGAATTTTAGCTTGTAGCTATATATTTGACATCCAGAAACTAAGGAATAGAGATTTAAGTTCTTAACTCCTTCATCCCTCTTTTCATCTTTTAAATAAGACAAGGAAAGGAGAAGAAAGAAGCCTTGGTTCACCTAATCTTTCATTATCCCATGCTTGAGAATTTGATATTCAAGGTCTTCATTCAGAGCCTGCAGCCAAGAACCTGAGGGGCTGATTATAGCGTGAGCACCTAGTTAAGCATATTCCTAAGGTGAAACCCTCAGATCAGACTATGAACACTGTTTGGAAGTCTAAGTTACCAAGCCCCTAGCTAAGAAGGCAAAAGTAGGTAAGACAGTATCCTCCCTTGCTAAGGGAGAGATTATTCTAGCTGAGAAGACTCTTCAAATACTGACTAAGCGAAAGTGGGAAGGGCTCCTTAAGGATGTATTCTGATACTTTAGCTATGATGACCTCCTTTTGCTAGAGCAGCAGTTGCCTGAACTAATGATCTTCAAAGGACCATAAAGAAGATTTAAATCAAATCAAGTGTTGAGAAAAAGGTCTGTAGCAGCTGCTTTTGTGGCCAGAACCTCCCTGGATAGCATCACGTGCCTAGCTCAAACCAGTCACTGTCAGCACAGTGTCTCACTGATAATTATAGCTCTTTAACTGGAAAGACGGACAAGGCAAGCAGCAACTTTCACCTGCCAGATACCATGAGGCAGAGCTAATTAGCAGGACATTAGCGAGAGAGAGGTGATGGCGCAGTCCAGCAAGAGAAAAAGCACACCTGAAATCTTAGAAATTAGCTCTAAGTAATTTCAGACTATCCAGGGGACTGAGTAATTTAAGGTTAATGAGCACTATGAAAACAATGAAGGAGAGTGTTTCTTGCAGAGGAAAACCCAGACTCAAAAGAAAGGACCCAGTATAACAGATTAAAGCCCAAACCTAATGCATCACTCAGTTAAAAATAAATATTTTTATATGGCTCCTTAACTCCTTTCTTGTTTAAGTAAAGCTTCAAGAACAGGAATATCTGATGTGCTGAGTGAGAAAAGACATAGGTTAGTGGATTCATTTAACCTAATAGGCTCAGTCCAATAGCAGCTTCCCAGGGAAGACTATAAGAACAGAATGGGTGTTTAGTAATTCTCAGAACTTTTTCCCAGCCTCTAGTCATTCCTAGCTCAAGGACTTACCCAGCTGTTTCTTTAATGTGACTTAATGGCATTGGATAAGCTTTTCTTGCATCCATTGACTAATAGCTTGTTCTGCAGCTGTGGTAGGGTTTGGCAGAAGTTACACCCCCTCCCCCCCTTCCCTATCCTGGAATATATATGCTTGAGTTGAAACACAACTGTTGCAAATTTGGACTGGAAAAGCTTCAGTATAGCAATATGTCTGAGCAAACAGGAATAGATAAAAAACTGGAAAATTTTAGATGTCCTAAGAAAGTAGAAAATAGAGTTGCTGTAAAAAATGAGGTAAAAGCAACCCATCTCTGTAAAGTTCTGTCACACAAGATTCAGGCCATAGGCATAGGTAAGGGGCCTCTGCCGGGCAGCAGATTGCCAGAAGCAATAATGCACCCATGGTCTCATGCTAAATTCAGGGGAAGAAGAGGGTTTGTGGCTGCAGTTGATTCTCGGGAGGGAAGAGCCTCTCTGCAGCAGCACCATCATCCTCATTTTCCCTCCCTTCACACACCCCCCCCCTCCAAGGAGAGCATGATCAGTAAGGCCAGGTTTTTCAGGCTGGCCTTGCCTCTCTGTTGAAGCTCTTTTCTTTTCCCATGCTCCACTCCTTTCCCTGAAGGAGTAGATCTGGCTCTTCAGGAAGCAAAATTCAATTTTGTTACCATTTCTGAGATTCCTCAAACTGGCTCTGAACACAGGGTATGGCTACACATATATCCATAAACTAGCAGTGCAGTCATGCTGCAAACCCACACCGAATTGTTAAGGGCATACTCAATATCCCTACCGTACTTGTCTTCATATTATATTGGCTCGATCGCTAATAGTACCTTTATTAGCTATTTTAAAGCTAGTTCAGTGCTCTCTACGTGATATGCTGCTTACCTTCCAGGGCTCTCTTTTCTTTGCTTTTTAAGAATAGTGGTATTTGTTATCTTCAAAGACATGCAAGGTGGTGTTTTTAAAGTTTGAATAAATGCAATCCAATCAGTGTAGGTTGTATAGATTAATAGAGTAATGTAGTATAGAGCTGATTAGGTAGTTATAAAAGTGTGCATTATCAATATATAAAAAGAAAAGCTAATGAAACAGGTTTGTGTTAGTGTTTTTTAAATTTGTGATTTTTATGTCAGCCTTAGAAAATAAAGAATAATTTATATAAATTAAGTTCAGTTCTGATTTCTGAAAGCAGGGGCTTCTATGCAGTAAGGATTTACGTTAAAATAGTATTTTAATTAATCTTTTGTACAAAAATTTGATTTGTAAAATACTTCATGGAAGTAAAAAAGGAGGCTGTCACATTGGACACGACTCCCCTATCAGCATGCAGTGTATGTTTTAAGTTCTAATTTAATTCTACCTGAATTTTTTTCTCTCATTTATTGTCTTATACATGTTTCCCAGGATAGCCCACTGGTCTTACAGTCTGACAGAAATGTAACAGTGAATGCAAGAAATCACATGGGGCAATTAACTGGACAACTGACAGTAGGTGAGTGTTCTTTATTGATTATTACATATATCAATTCAACTTTATGAATAGATTAATTAATATTGAAAAGAAAATATTGTTGAAGAGAGTGAAAAATTTTCATCATCATACTTACCCAAATGGGTCATAAAAGCCTGATTCAGCATTAGCTGAAGACAAGAGAAAGTAGAAATGTCCCAATAATAGTTAAAATATATTTTAGTGAAAAATGATTATTTTTGAGAGAGCTGTAACAAAGCAAACTAAAAAAGAAAATCTCAACAATCATGTCTCAAAAGCAATTTCAGAGGGAAAATAACTGTCATTTTCTTACTAGTTCCATTAGTCTTCCATTACTTCAGTGGGAATTGGATTGACCCCATTGCTCTTACAATGCATTTGTAGCAGCACATATTGAAATTCAGTCAGAGTAACAGAATGTAAAGAAACAAACCAAAACAAAATTTGAAATGCTTTCCCAATCGCTGCAAAATTTAAAAGGAATGTGATAATACTGTCTGTTGTTTATTAAAGTTGTGTCTGATATTTTGCAAAGTATAAAATATAGCAAATCAAAGTTCCAAACAAAATAAAAATAACAAATCCTCTACTTACCGGTTCATTATAGATTCTTTATCTTGATTCAGTTTTTCATGTATTTGTTACCTGCTTTTAAGTTCACCACGTTATCATGTCTTGTACTTACTGTGTTAGTAAATATGTACTACTAATGAAGTAGTATTTTTTGTATTTTGATGTCTAGAACAGGACTGAGGATATTCATTGCTTTTTAAGAATACTGACTGAAAAATTAAGTGCAACATAATGTTTTAGATCTATTAGAAAGTAATACATATTGGCTAGGTGCACTGAAAAAGATACAAATGGATATGGGTAATATACTAATGTGTGTGTGTGTGTGTGTACATACATATATATGTTTGAGGAGACACCCTTTAGTCTCCAGGCCTTTTTATTTTTTCACTTTATTTCTGGAATTTTTCTATATTGTTATCTTGAAAAATCCCTTCCATTTTCCCATTAAAGTGTTGAGCAGAAAACAACTGATTCTTTTAAGTAGTGGCAACAGAGTATTAGTACAATTACAATCTTGCCAGATTATGTTTTTCATAAAATAAAATACTAGTTTCTAAGCTTTGTCACTATCACCATCAAATAATTCTGTCATGTAGTAAACCTTTTGGATTTAAAAAAAAAAAAAAAAGCATTGGCAATCTTGCTTACTGGAAAAAAATGGATATTAAAAAGGGATTTTTGGAAAAAAGACCTTTCCTGCCCGCTCCTAGGAAACTTAAGGTGTATTCCACATTGAGATTCAGCATATTTTACATTCAATTAGAAAAAAAAATTGTCTAAGTGAATGTCATACTTAATTATACAATATAAACTCACAATTAGTCTTTAACTGTAATTAAACATCAATTTTCATTTTCTTTCAGAGAGTCTAATAGAACTAACTGAGGATTTATATAGATTTGAGAAGGGCTAGGAAAATGATGATCTACCAAAAACAAAACCTTTGTGGTAATGCATCTCTTTCTACTAACTCTTTGCGGGGCAGGAGTCCTGAAAGTTGGAAGAAGGTTTCTGAGGTTTGACAAAATCAAATCTTCAGCCTTCCACTCTGTTTTTGAATAAGTAGGTTTTTATGGGATTTGAAATCTGTCTTTGAAGAAGGATTTTAACATTTAGTTTTCCTCTTACTGACTTTTCCTGTTTTAAGCTCTCTGTTCTTCTCTTCTTTACACAAACCACTCATATGCGAGTAAACTTTTCCTTAACCTTTCTGTATGGAATTGATAACTGGGAGATTGTCTAATGAATTATCCAGTGCTGTGAAAGGAGAAACATTGTGGTGCTAAACTGCACATTCTCAGACACCGTTTTTCTTTTAATAATGGAGATACCAGCTTTGTTTGAATTATTTCACAAGTGAAATGACTGTTCCTGAAGCCCGTTTGTTGGGGTGTGCTGCACTATCTAATAAGAAGTAAGACTTCTATGAATGCTTGCTATCTGAGCCAGGAGGAACTGGCCTTTTCAGATGACTGGAAAAGTAGTGTTTGTTTATTTGCCCAATGAGTGTTCTAAGTTCAGAAGCGAGCATTTTTTGTCCCCTAGAAAACTCTATCTGGTCTTAGTTACCATATAAGCTCATATCGCTGCTAACTGGTTTTATGCACTCCCTTTCCCCATGTGCTAAGGATATGCTCAGAGATAGTTTGACAGTAAATTCTAGTTGTGATCTACACTGAGTTGTCATACTGACTGGAGATTGTTGATTCAAGTTGTAAAAATCTTTGGCATACGCGTGCAGAGTGATGCACCATCTGCACTGATTTTCCTAAATGACCACATCAAATGAGTGCGCAAAGGTAACCAGAATTGCTAGCAGATGCAGATGAGGAAAATTAAGCTAACACCTGCTCTAGCCATATTGTACTTGCCACTGTGTTTGTGGACACAGTTTGTTTCATCTAGTGGCTATATTATTAAAACCTTCCACTTCAGCTGATAATTGCTAAAAAGGTGAGTTGCCTATGGCAAACATTCACGTTGCCTGAAATAGATATGATATTCTGGTTGCTGACACCATTCTCACTCCGTGAATCCAACACTGAAATTGTATGTGTGTGTATCTAGACTGACCTACTTAAAGACATCACACTAGAGTTTAACATCATAAAAAGTAGAAGCCTAAAGAAAACATATATTCTTACGTTACAGTTATTAGTGTGAACACCTGTAAGCTTTTCAGCTGGTTGGCAGCTGGTGTAGAGTGTCTGGAGAGAGTGAAGCTGCTAAATTGCAGTATTGTATTTACGTTATTTTTATTTATTATTTTCCTGTTCTTTTTCATGAAGGCTGTATGGCCTTTATTCTTACTTATATTTGAATAAAAATCTACTTCCTCTTTATTATATATAAATTCTTTATACAATGTTCCATAAAACTTAAAATATTTCCTATTTATTATTTAATACTTTTTATTTAGTATAAGGACTCATGACTACCACTACAATCAGTAGAAGTCTGAGCATTCTATTATAAGAATTGAAGAAACTAAGAGGCGACCTAAAATTCAAAATATTATTCGTGCCCTCCTTTCCAAAAATTTTTATTGTGTAAGATAGAGCATATCCAGACAAATTTTGATTTTGGTCTAGGTGAAACATGGAAATGTTTGCTGAGAGAAGGGGAGGGGACTTTCCTATAGCAGATTTGCTAACATTTTTTTTCCTGTTAGTGGTAAATCTGCTCTGGGAAGTCTTTGCTTTCTTCAGAACTGCTCTTTGTCCCCTCACTGGTGCTGCATACTGAATCAGCAGTGTGTGTTTGCAGTCTGAGAGGGATGAAAATAAACAGTGGAGGAAGCAGTGAGTAGAAATATCTTCAAATTATGGGAAAAAAAGGTAAAGCATTATGCCTTGGGATGAAAAGTGATCTATTTAATAATCTAGAAATGATGTTTGGCGGGAGCATTCTGAAAAGAGAGAATATCCCCACATTCAGGGGAATGATGTTGCACTCCTATACATGTATTGTCAGTGGCATTTTGTCTGTATTTCGCGTGACTTCTGACAGATGTCACTGGCATTACAAGGCAGTAAGTAGTCTGCTTTTTTGCCTTTAAGGCTCAAATTGTTGGTCGTGTCAAATTATAGGAAAATTAAAACTTTCTTTCTGTGTTATTTGGAATTGTGCCAGGCAAGACTAAGACAGCCTGAGGAGCATCAAATTAAAACTGTAAATGGAAGATATTAAAAAAGGAAAGAGGAACAAATGAAGGCTATGGCCACGCAGGGAGCTGAAACAGCTACATAATGAAACTCTTGATAAATCAGATGTCCAATTCTGTGAGTCCCTGTGGAAGACAAAACGGTTCTGTGGAGGAGGGTAATAAGACATCTTGGAGCACATCCTAATCTAGAAGGACTGAAAGGAAAATATACTTAAAAAGAAAAGGTAGCTAATAGTACTGAGTGATGCAGTAGTTGCATGTTTAAGTAGTGTAAAGTCAAGTCATGGCTTTGGGTCTTACAATAGCCAGGCCGCATCTGTTGTCAGAGTAAAACGTATTTATACTAACACTGAAAAATAAGGAGAGAAAGTCACCGGTACAGCAGTGCTTTCTGTTGGGATCTGTACGGACTGAGCTAGAAAACAGGACATTGTGTAGAATTTGGAAATGCGTATGTGGTATTTATCCATATTAGTGAACTGACACTTGTTAATTTAACAATGAAAACAAGATTTTTCAGTTTATATAAAGATAATCCTGATCTAACTCAAGAGTTTCCTTTGCTGTTTGCCCTTGCTCCATGGTATACCCTGCAGTCCTCATCCCCCATAGATATTATGGGACTTCCTGGAAACTAAAACCCTTTCTACAAACGGGCAGCAGAGGGTGAAGAGGTAGGTGTTTTGCCCTCAGGTCTTCTTGTGGCGTATGGTCAGGAAACTGCCAGGTTTGTATCTGGATCTCCAGAAAGACTCCTAAGCCCTCAATTTTTAGATGTAACATTTAAGACCAACATAGCATATGTGGTACAGACACAAAGGATATTTACAGATTAAAGATGTAAAGATGATCATTCATTGATTTTTGTTTCTGAACTAGATAAGGAAAAATAATCACATCTCTCCCTTCCCAAGCCTTACTTAGGAATGCCCTTTGCATTATGCGTTCTGCTAAGTTGCCTTGACGTGACCTTTTCTCTCAGTTCAATCAATGTTTGCATAGTTTGAAGCTGTGGGGAAGAAATCCTATTTCTTTTCTGCCAGTCTTAGAAATGCACCAAAGTCACACAACTCAAGCCAGAAATCTATTGTCTCCACACTGATTGCACACATCACATACCTTTGCATGTCTTTGAATGGTGGATGTTAGGTTGACAAGTTTTTATTTGACGTCTGTGCTAACGTGTTCAAGATTAAATATGGCTGAAAAGAGTCATTTGAAGACCATATGTGTGCTTACCATAACTTCATCTTCAGAT